GAGAGATGAGCTGTCATATTCTGTGCAGGGTTTGGAGATGTTTTGCAGGTGTACCCTAACCCAAAACAGTCCTTTGCTTTGCCAGCCTCCAGGAGGATTCCACAGCAGCTCTTGGCTCTTTGTTTTATTTATCTCCTTCCGCAAAGGTCTAAGGCGATGTACAGAATGCAATAAAATCTGCTAAAAACGCAGTTAAAAGCAACAGGGGAAAGAACGGCAGATAATAAGCAGTGCCACGGCAGTGACCTATTTGTTCAGCTGGGAAAGCTTGTCAGAACAAACATTCTTCAGTTGTTTCCGGAAGTGGAGATAGTGAGCACTTGTCGTAATCGTGTGTCAACAGGGATGCTGTTCCACAGAACAGGGGCAGCCAGCTAAAGGCCTTAATCCACATTACTCCAGAATGGACTTCAGAGATCTTGCTTTAGTATGATTTATAGATTTCATAAAATTTATATGCCACCTGATTGTATGGAACCTCAAACTGGTTTACAAAACAGAAAACAGAAAATTTGGGGGGTGGGTTCAAAAGCCTGCTTTAAAAATATACATAAGTTAAAATACTAAAATAGATTAAGATTGCCTCAACTGTCTAAGCATCTGGGTAAGGTAAAGGTAAAGGGACCCCTGACCATTAGGTCCAGTCGCGGCCGACTCTGGGGTTGTAGCACTCATCTCGCTTTATTGGCCGAGGGAGCTGGCGTACAGCTTCTGGGTCATGTGGCCAGCATGACTAAGCCGCTTTTGGCGAACCAGAGCAGTGCACGGAAACGGTGATTACCTTCCTGCTGGAGCAGTACCTATTTATCTACTTGCACTTTGACGTGCTTTCGAACTGCTAGGTTGGCAGGAGCAGGGACCGAGCAACGGGAGCTCACCGCGTCGCGGGATTTGAACTGCCAACCTTCTGATCGGCAAGCCCTAGGCTCTGTGGTTTAGACCACAGTGCCACCCGTGTCCCTCCTCTTTTCCTTAGGACGTCCCTATTTCCTACCAGTCCTACCACCGTAACTTGTTGATTACAGTTGCTCTTCAAATAATTCGTAAATTTCTTCCAATCTTCTGTGAATCTCTGGTCTCGCAGGTTTCGAATCCTTCCTGTCATTTTATCTAATTCTGCGTAGTCCATTAATTTCGTCTGCCATTCTTCTTTCGTCGGCAATTCTTCTTGATTCCATATCTGGGCAAATTTTGCACCAGCTGAAGTTTCCAAGCGGTCTTCAGAGGCAGCCCTACATATAACGTGCTGCAGTAATCTGTTCTCTCTCTGTCTCCATGCAGCGGCTGGAACAGATGCCAATGTCTTTATGATCATCTTTGGGGAGAACGGGGACTCCGGGACTTTGGCTCTTAAAGAAGCAAACACGTCCAACAAGTTTGAGAGGAACCAGTTGGATGTTTTCTATTTCTCCGATATACTCAGTCTTGGGGATCTCTGCAAAGTGCGGATCTGGCACGACAATACAGGTAACAAAGATGGTTTGTTTATTTGTTTATTTTAACAAAGGTTTATTTTAAGGGGTCGAGGGGGGGGGTACCATTTCTGCTCCGCTCAGCCAAGCTGATAAAGCTCATTTTCTTCCCCCGAGTCCTTCGGAATCAACTCACGACGTGTTTAACGACCTGAGCCTTTGATAAGGCTCCAAGGCACATTCCATTCAGCAGAGTTTCCAGCACAGGAAAGAGACGAGAGGTTTGGGCTACATTGCAAAGAGTTTTATTATCCCAACTACGCAGACAAAAAACACATCCTCTCTCTATGAAAGCAGAGAGCAACTGAACAAAGGAACACAGGAAACCACTAACGTCACATCCCATCTCCCCTCCCATGAGACTTCCCACAGTCTGGAAGGTCTCTGGAATGTAAACAGAGTCCTGTGACTCCAAGCAGCTGCACAGTGATATGAACAGAAACTAACACTTTGCGGGCTGTATTTCTTCATGGTGGCACATAGTAGGGGGTGCTGATCACAGAGGGGAAACTGATTGGAACAATGCATGTGACTCTCACTTTTGTAAGGTAAACGACAAACCAGCTGCACAAATCTCAGAGGATCACACACAAAAATATCTTTCCATTATCTATCAAAGCAAGCAGGAAGTATTGCTTGGCGAGTTCCCGTCCCCCCCCCCAGTGGAAATAAAGACACATGACACAATTATTTAAGGTTAATGGGCTAAATATGGCCACAACTTTATTGGTTACAGGTGATGAGCGGTATTGGCTTAGGCATTGATTCTAACAGACTATCCGGCTTCAGCCTGTTTGCTTAAAGTCCAGGAAGGGTTAACCACCAGTAGGGGGAGTCCTGCTGATGCACATCAACTAGGAACTCCCCCTGGGTCACTGCTCGGGGGCGTGCCTTAGGCCCTCACCTCCATAGGCTTCGGACAGGGCCACGCCCCCCAGAATCCTTTAACGGACTACCCTTCAATATGCGGGGCAGGTGATGGCGCTACCTCCCCTCTTCCATCTATAAAACAATACCAATACCAATGCCTAACCGCCACTACTAAGAAAGTTGTGATGATTTGCTACGAGGTAGGCGAAAACCAAGTGGCTGGTGCCAATTTGCCAAGTGGAAAAATTCCTACCAGGCCCCTCAATGGTGACCAACCGAGGTCCATAGCAAGGTCAAGGAACGAAAACCTTATAGGGCAGGAGGGTGGGAAAAACAGGAACAGCTGGTATGCAGGAAAAGAGGGAGATCCCTGGCCATGCCTGCGTTTAAATTGGGAGGGCCACGCCCCCAAAGCCAGCCGATTGGCTGGCCAGGGGGTAACACGGCCGAGATTCCCCCAATCATGCAGGGGCTGGACTCCAGCTACTGCGCACGGGGTTGGGCCATGACGCCTGCAATCCCACCTCCTCTGCAGGGTGGAAGTGGGTTTATCAAAATCCCAGCAGGGCAAATGTTTAAAGATGGTGTTGGGAAGGGCTAGCAATGGGTGAGGCCCAGGGATGTGGCATGGGAAGATTCCTGAGGGCATCTAGAGAGATCTGTTCCCTATACAGTGCTTCCCCTATGAGCAAAGGTTGCAGCTATTGGGGGCTTTTTCGTTTAGAGAAAAAATGACCCAGAGACGACATGATAGAAGTTTATCAAACTGTGCTGCATGGAGAAAGCGGGTTTTTCTCCATCTTACAACACATGCATTGAATGTTGGGATGGTTCAAGATAGATAAAGTCAGCGCTTTATTTCTGGGGGTACATATACCCCTAAACACTTTGTGACTCTCTGTACTTTTGTCCATTTACTGTATTTATTTCCCCCGATTTGAACTATAAAATAGTGGTTTTCTTGAGTCAAAATGAGAGTACCCCTAAACTTTTTTTTTAATTGAAAAAAGCACTGGATAAAGTCCTTAGTGGGGGAGGAGAACTGGGGGTGGGGGGAGATTCCCATCTGGCAACCAATTCAACCCTTTGGTTTCAGATAGTACATGGGTAGACAAGTACATGGGTGGACATAAATTTTCACGGTCCTCTAGCAGCTATGGTGGCAGCAGTAAAGCCACTTCCGCCCTACAGAGGAGGTGGGGTTGCGGGCTTCACGGCCCCACCACACGTGCGGTGGCTGGAGCCCAGCCCAGCCCCGTGCAACTGGGGGGATTCCTGGCCACATCACACCCTGCTCAGCCAATCAGCTGGCTCTGGGGGCGTGGCCTGCCCTATTTAAGGCAGTATGCGGCCGGGGATCTCCCTCTTTCCCCATCTGCCAGCTCTGGAAGTGTCTACTTGATTGTATCTATGGAAGATGGAGTAAGCTTGTTTTCTCCTGTTCTGGAGGGTAGGACTCGAACCAGTGGCTTCAAGTTACAAGAAAGGAGATTCTGACTCAACATCAGGAAGAACTTTCTAACAGTAAGAGCTGCTTGACATTGGAACAGACTCCCAGAAGAGAAGGTGGTTTCTCCTTCTTTGGGGGTCTTTAAGGAGAGGTTGGAAGGCTATCTGCCATGGATGCTTTAGCTGAAATTCCTTCTTGCAGGGGGTTGGACTAGATGACCCTTAGGGTCCCTTCCAACTCTACAATTCTATGAAAAGTAGAACAGAAATAAAATTAAGCTGGATCATTCGTGGTACAAAAAGTTCCAGGAGGTTAGCAGGAGGTTACTGGACACTCACTGATTGGGAACAAAACACTGTGCCTACTCCATAGTCCTGACTCCCTGGAGAGCCCTGCAACAGAGGTAGGGGGTTCAAATAATAGATCTGTTGTATCCTTCTAAAAAATGTAGAAAGTGGACCATCACAAAAGGGAGAGAGAGCTTCCCCCATTCCCATGTAATTCACACCTAGTGCAATTCAAAGCACAGCTATTTGCCCAAGCAACTATTTTGCTTTCTTCCTGAGCAGAGAAGCAGCTCCCTTCTGGTTTGGCTTCTTCGCCAGCTGCCCTCCATCCAATAGCAGGGTCCAGGCTCAGAGAGCTGGCTTGCCTCCAGCCACCGGGTGATCGTCCGCCAACCCCCAATTCCCACCGCAGTGCCCAGTCGCTCCTCCTCTCACCTCAGGCGGACGTTGTGGTTCCTTTCCCTCCCCCCTTTTTTTGTCTTCTGTTTGCTGGAGACTCTCTTCCCAAACTGCTGGAGACAGGGCTTTGGGAGACAGAGCATTTATTTGTCAAGGGTTTGCTTCTCCAGGGATGCCAAAGAAGAAAAACCCTGAGACTGGTGTCTTCCAACACACATGGCGGTCCTGGGTAATCCTCTAACAAAACACTGCCTTCTGGAGCTCAAGGCTTAATTAAGTGCTGGCAGGCAAGCAAGGCCTGGGCTGGATTTTTCTGCTCCTCACTTTCCCCCCTTCTTCTCGTTGTTGTTAAGTGATGAGAAATGGCAGGTATGTAATTGGAAGAGCAGGCCTGGATTTCCATACAACAGGGGGCCATAGGAATAAGGAGACTCCGCCAACAGGCAGGGGTGGCCCAGCACTCCTAACCCCCCCCCCAGGTAAATTAAATCCAGGGGAAAGGGGCTTTCGACTAGGGACAGGGGCATAGTTCAGTGGTAGAGCGTCTGCTCTGCTTGCAGAAGGCTCCAGGTTCAATCCTCAGTATCTCCAGGAATGTCTCCTGATTGAAATCTGGAAAGTCATAATAATAATAATAATAATAATAATAATAATAATAATAATAATATATTATTTATACCCCGCCCATCTGGCTGAGCCTCCTGCCAACCTAGCAGTTCGAAAGCACGTCAAAGTGCAAGTAGATAAATAGGTACCGCTCTGGCGGGGAGGTAAACGGTGTTTCCGTGCGCTGCTCTGGTTCACCAGAAGCGGCTTAGTCATGCTGGCCACATGACACGGAAGCTGTACTCCGGCTCCCTCAGTCAATAAAGCGAGATGAGCGCCGCAACCCCAGAGTCGGTCACGACTGAACCTAATGGTCAGGGGTCCCTTTACCTTTTACATCTGGCTGGGCTTCCCCAGCCACTCTGGGCAGCTTCCAACAAAATATTAAAATACCGTAATACATCAAACATTAAAAGCTTCCGTAAACAGGGCTGCCTTCAGATGTCTTCTAAAAGTTTGGTAGTTGTTCTTCTCTCTGACATCTGGTGGGAGGGTGTTCCACAGGGCGGGTGCCACTACCGAGAAGGCCCTCTGCCTGGTTCCCTGTAACCTCACTTCTCGCAGTGAGGGAACCGCCAGAAGGCCCTCGGCGCTGGACCTCAGTGTCCGGGTAGAACGATGGGGGTGGAGATGCTCCTTCATTGCATGCCAGTGTAGACAGCAGATGGACCAAGGGGCTGGCTCAGTGCAATGCTGCTTCCCTCCACAGTGGGGTTCCCAAACGCCCCCCACCTCCATGGACCACTTAAAAAAATGCTGAGGGTCTTGGCCAACCAGCTAATGATTTCCCCACCTATTGCAGCAGGTATAATGTTCTGTGTGCTGTATGATTTTTAATTGCGTTTTCATTGCTTCTTTTGTTTCTTGCACATTGCGTTTTATGAAGTTGCAATCTGAATCCAACAGAATTAGGTGGAATTGAAATGTAATACGGTGGTACCTTGGGTTAAGAACTTAATTCGGTCCGGAGGTCCGTTCTTAACCTGAAACTGTTCTTAACCTGAGATACCACTTTAGCTAATGGGGCCTCCCACTGCTGCCGCACCGCTGCTGCGTGATTTCTGTTCTCATCCTGAAGCAAAGTTCTTAACCTGAGGTACTATTTCTGGGTTAGTGGAGTCTGTAACCTGAAGCGTCTGTTACCTGAAGTGTATGTAACTCGAGGTACCACTGTATGACGACATCAACATCAGCAGCAGCAGCAACAACAACAACAACTTTATTTCTATGCCACCTTTCTGACTGGGTTTCCCCAGCCACTGTGGGTTGCTCCCCATCCCCCAAATATTACAAACACAATAAAACACTGACCATTAAGACCCCTTCCTGAACAGGGCTGCCTTCAGATGTCTTCTAAAAGTCAAATCTGTTTGACATCTGATGGGAGGACATTCCACAGGGCGGGTGCCACTACAGAGAAGGCCCTCTGCCTGGTTCCCTGTAGTTTCATATCTCACAGTGAGGGAAGCTCCAGAAGGCCCTCAGAGCTGGACCTCAGTGTCCAGGCTTGGCGATGCAATAAAAGAAGCGATTCAAATGTAGCTTAAAATAAAAATGAATATCTGATGCGATAGACGTGCTGTCTCACCTCTTCAACCACAAATCCAAAGATGCGCCATGGACCACCAGAACGAAGCTTGTGGACCATGCTTACATCATTATGCAAATTATGTTTTCGTTATCTTATTCCACCCCATTTATTTCAGCAGAAAGGAGACACGGTATAAGCGGAAGGGAAGACACAATCAATTGCATACCGTTTGCAGACTGAAAATAACAGCAGCAGCAAATACCAACTGTGTTCACTGGATTTCCATTGGTTTCCGTTCCAGATGTTGGACAAACAAGCGAACACCAGTGATTTCCATTCCTGCTTTTGTTGAACTTATCTGACATCCCTACCTGTAGGTGGCAGCAGTCTAACCTGCTTCATGTCCCCCAAGTAACGAGGTGCTTCCTTTCCTGCAGGGATAGCGCCCGGCTGGCACTTGGAGTACATTGATATAGAAGACTCCCTGATGGACAAGATGTTCCGCTTCCAGTGTGATCGCTGGCTGGCGAAGAGCGAAGACGATGGGCAGCTCCTCCGAGAGCTGGCTTGTGCCAATAATGACATCCTGGAACTGAAGGAACGCACCTGTAGGTCTAAATGGGAGATCTGGGCAGTGGAGGGGGAAACTCATGGTAGCCATTTTATTTAAAACAGAAGTCATGCTAACCCTCCTCCAACATTTTCCACAGGTGGAAGCTCCATGTGGAGTAGCAGGATTATGCCACTGGTCATAGAACCATAGAATTGTAGAGTTAGAAGGGACCACAAAGATCATCTACTCCAACTCTCTGCAATGCAGGAATCTTTTGCCCAACGTGGGGCTTGAACCCACAACCATGAGATTAAGAGTCCCATGCTCTACTGACTGAGCTGTTCTCCACTTGACATTGGGCACACCACTGGCACTGCCCAATGAGGGGAATCTTGCACCTAAACAATTGCTCATGACAGTGGCCTTCAGGGGGCTCGGATTTCATCAGCCCCCTGTGCGGTGCCAGAATTCAGTGGCCCCCTGCCTCTTGCCTTCCATTCTACATCATATTTGCAGCACCACTGAGGCTCTGCACCCGGTGCAACTGGTTGCGCTCCCCCAAATCTGTCTCTGCTTAAGCAGAGGGTTTCATGCAACCAGCGCCCCTGTGCAATGGGGTGTCCTGTTTTTGTGAAGGTTTACAGAGGGCCCCAGGGACACGGGTGGCACTGTGGGTTAAACCACAGAGCTTAGGGCTTGCCAATCAGAAGGTTGGCGGTTCGAATCCCCACGACGGGGTGAACTACCGTTGCTCGGTCCCTGCTCCTGCCAACCTAGCAGTTCGAAAGCACGTCAACGTGCAAGTAGATAAATAGGTACCGCTCCGGCAGGAAGGTAATCACCGTTTCTGTTTACTGCTCTGGCTCGCCAGAAGCGGCTTAGTCATGCTGGCCACATGACCCAGAAGCTGTACGCTGGCTCCCTTGGCCAATAAAGCGAGATGAGCGCCGCAACCCCAGAGTTGGTCACGACTGGACCTAATGGTCAGGAGTCCCTTTACCTTTACCTTTTACAGAGGGCCCATACCTCAACATCTGCATCAGGGCATGGAAACAGCAAATGTGGGGACCGCTTTGGAGCTGGTGAAATCTGGGCCAGTGGTGTTGACGCCCCACTTTGCCCCACTTGTCTGAATAAACAGTATCATGGGCTGTTCTAAAATGTTCCACAGGTACAAGTCTCTACCTTCCCGAGTTTAAATGCAACAAAAATGTTGGTGGGGGGGAGTAGAGCTAAGTTACTGTTGCCCACAGCTTTAACACCTGAAAAGAGTTACTAGGTCATGCTGCTAATGAACAAGCATCTTAAAGACTCTTCATTCATCTTATTCTGTGTTCATTGTGCACTAGGTGGAAGGTGCAGGGCTAGGGAGCCTATGGCTATTCAAGTGTTGCTGAACTACAACTCCCATAATCCCTGACTATTGGCCATCCTTAGTGGGGCTGATGGGTGTTGTAGTCCTGCAACATCTGGAGAAGGTCACAAGCGCCCCATCCTTCTTTAAGCCAGGAGAAGAAGCCCAGACCTTTCCCCCTTTACATGTTGTCAGATATGACGCATGTGAAACAGACACTCTTAATAGCAAACGAAGCCTGCGAGCTCAAATGGCAGCTATGAACTAGGAAGGGCTGAGGGCCTGTGTCTTTCCCCCAATTCACCATAAGCTCTTTTCTGACTTCCAAGCTTACAAGATCGAGACAGTCACAAGTGACCGAGATGACGCAGAGACAAAGGAGAACGTCTCTCTTATTTTCGAGGGGAAGAAGGGACGGTCGAAAGAGTTCCTTCTGGAGAACTCACCCAAAAAAAGGAGATTTTTAAGGTATGTGGGTGGTCTTAATAATATATGGCGACAATGACTGCTGATGGCAATTTTGTTGCAGAAGAGGCATTCCTCTTTGTCTAACAGGAAATTCCTCTTCTAGCAGGTTGCCTTATATTGAATCTGACTAGTGGTCCATTTACCTTTGCATTGCCTACACTGGCTGGCAGTGGCTTTCCAGGGTTTCAGAGAGGGAATCTCTCCCAGCATCTGCCTGGAGATGTTGCCAGTTGAACCTCCAACCTTCTACATGGAAAGCTTACTGTCAGGCTTCAGGGACTTAGCTTCCTCTCCCCCTTTGGCAGTAGATAAACAGAACAAAGCAAAAAGAGTCTCTTACCGGTTAGAAATTTTAATGATCACAGCAAGAGAACAAAGAATTCATTTCTAGGCATGAAGGTGCTCCCATTTAAGGGTACCACCCACTTCCCCCCAGTCACCCACGTGACTTCTGTGTCTTGCAACCTGATCTCGCAACCACTTAGCTTTCTGTGCTGCCACCTTATCTGTTCTCCTTGATCTTGGGCTGAGCGGATGGATGCTTTCCAGCGAAAGTGAGCCTGTTAACTTTCTCTCCCAGTTATTCTTCTCCTAACTGTTCACCGCTCAGTTCTTCCCAACTTCTGTCTTCTGAACTATGTCCCTCTGCAAACCACTGTTCTAATTCTATACTACTTCTGAGCATGGTCCCTGACACTTACACTCTACCACCGAGAGTTGACCCTTCCTTCAATATAATGCCATTGGAGGAAGACGCAGCCTTTTGGTGAAGGATGAGGTACAGAGGACTGGATTTATATTGTTGCTGCTTCATTTGAATGGAAATTTACACTGGCCTGTTTTAATATTATTGTTTAACTTTCCTCTGGATTTTAAGTATACCCACCCTGGGAACTTCAGGTGAAAGGCAGACTATAAATAACAGAATCAGCATTGTAGAGTTGTAAGGGACCCTGAGGGTCATCTAGTCCAACCCCCTGCAATGCAGGAATCACAACTAAAGCATCCATGACAGATGGCCACCCAACCTCTGCTTAGAAATCTCCAAGGAAGGAGAGTCCACAACCTTCCAAACTTGT